TATATCCTTCAAAGTAAACTCTGTAAAACTAATACTTTCCAGTCTTCATACTACAATCGTGTTGTAACGATTTGGAACACAGTGTGCCAAGAAATCTCACCTGACATTTTCCGTAATCCAAACTCTTTTAAACACTACCTTAAACGTAGATACTATACATTAATTAGTAATGTTTATGACGTAGACATGGCTTGTACGTGGTCATTAACTCGTGACTGTCCTTGCCATAGGACTTAATACCACAAGTAATATATATGTGTGTGTGTGTATTTAATTAACTATATCAAAACTAATTACGGGGAGCACCTCGCATGGGACTTTTAAGCCCCGTTTACACTACGCTCAATTTTTGGTACGGCACGGATAAAATTGGTACCCTACCACTTTTTTGGTTCTTGGACTACATATTTAGCTAAGCCCCGTTTACACTACGCTCACTTTTTGGTACCGTACCACTTTTTGGTTCTTGGACTACTTATTTAGGTAGTCCAAGAACCAAAAAAGTGGTACGGGTACCAATTTTATCCGTGCCGTACCAAAAATTGAGCGTAGTGTAAACGGGGCTTTAGTGTCCCGTTTGTGCTTTTCCGTTTGAGTGTATCTACTAATTTGTGATTTGTGACGTGTGTTTTGTCTTTTGTTTGTCAAGTTTTTTTTTTGGTTTTTTTTATCTTTGTACCTGATACAGTACGTATGTAGATTGCTCAATAAATTCATTAAATAAATAAATAAATAAATAAATAAGTAAATAAATAAATAAATAAACAGGACACTTCCGGCTGGGACAAGTTGACATGTCGATTTCTTGCTAAACAGCGTGGCGATCAATATGGCGAATATCTAAATACAGGGAATTTTTAAAATTTGTTGGTGTAAATGGGCTAAAGAAACTCATCAAATATTTGGAGTATGGACCTTCAAACTTATGCCAAGTATTTATTTGATTGATTAGCTCAATAACTGTTTTTTGGCTCGTTTTTCGGCGATTTCGACATTTAGTCGAGCTTATAGTCGACTTCAGAATAATATGTGTCAACATTGCGTGTTGCAGCCTGTGGACATGAATATTTTCGTTTGTTTGACCATAACATTTATCTTCATTGTTTTTAATCCTTGAATGACAATATATTCATTTGTCTCAGAGTCCTAAACTTAAGGAAGATGGATGACTTTGGGACAGATCATATATGTCCAATATCGACCATTCGACTCAAATGGACAAAATACATTTCAGATGGTTCAAACCGTTCAAATGGACAACATTTGTTCCATTTAAAATGAAACAATTCAAATGGTTCCAACAGTTCAAATGGAAACCATTTTCTTCCATTTGACACAGTATTGTCAATTGGTCAAATGGAGTCATGCTGTGCTTTGCCAGCGTAAGGCTTGTCCAATGGATCAAATGGATCAAATGGATCAAACTGACACTATTTGTTCCCATTGGCGTTCTTTAAAAACATAGTAATGGCTCGTTCTTTAAAAACATTGTGCTAAGAATAACAAGAACCATTGTATAATCATACATAGCACTGCCTGCCTATAATCATTTATAGTGATGACTCGTTCTTTAAAAACATTGCGCTCAAAATAACAAGAAACATTGCCGTATAATCATACATAGCACAGCCTGCCTATAATCATTTATAGTGATGACTCGTTCTTTAAAAACATTGTTAGTGATGACTCCTTCTTCGAAAACATTGTGTTCAGAATAACAAGAACCATTGTGTATAATCATACATAGCACAGCGGCCTGCCTATATATAATCATTTATAGTAATGACTCGTTCTTTAAAAACATTGCCTAAGAATAACAAGAACTATCAGTGTATATATAATCACAGTTCATAGCACTACCTGGCTATAATCCATACATAGCACAGCGGCCTGCCTATATATAATCATTTATATAGTGATGCCTCGTTCTTTAAAAACATTGCCTAAGAATAACAAGAACTATCAGTGTATATATAATCACAGTTCATAGCACTACCTGGCTATAATCATTCATATAGTGATAGCTCGTTCTTTAAAAACATTGCGCTCAAAATAACAAGAACCATTGTATGATCATATAGCTATAATAATTCATATAGTGATGACTCCTTCTTCGAAAACATTGTGCTCAGAATAACAAGAACCATTGTGTATAATCATACATAGCACAGCCTGTCTATATATGATCATTTATATAGTGATGACTCGTTCTTTAAAAACATTGTGCTAAGAATAACAAGAACTATCAGTGTATATATAATCACAGTTCATAGCACTACCTCGTTCTTTAAAAACATCAGAACCATTGTATGATAATACATAGCACAGCCTCTATTTAAGCGTTCATAGTAATGGATCGTTCTTTAAAATCATTGCGCTAAAAATAACAACAACCATTGTATATCATTCATAGCATTGCCTCTAGCCATATACTGTATGTAATTAATTATTCATAGTACTGGCTCCTTCTTTAATAACATTGCCCTAAAAATAAGAAGAACCATTGACAATTGTATAATTATTCATAGCACTGCCTCTATGTAGAATAATGCGGGATGGTTTTCATTCGTTGAAATAATAAGTCGCTAGCGTTACAAAAATGTTGGCGACAATATTTCTTACTTCAAAAATCAATATAAACTGCAAACACGGCTTAACATGCAAGCACTGTCATTATTTTGGATTGTGGCACTGAGATGGTTATGGATTATTTTGGATTTGGATTTAGCACTGAGATGCAGTGGATGCCATAAAAACAAAGTCGTCGTAAAACGTTGGAGCTATATAGTTAATACGTCATATAATCATTTATATAGTGATTCAGCCCAATGCATCCTTGGTCACCATTTGACCATTCGACATGATCCATAGTCGAATGGAATCAAACCGTGTCCATTTGATCCATTCGACCCATTTGATCCATTCGACTAGCTTTGCTTCTTCAGCCCAATGCATCCTTGGTGACCATTTGACAAGTCTTAGTCGAATGGAAACAAACCGTCTCCATTTGATCCATTCGACCCATTTGATCCATTCGACTAGCCTTGCTTTTTCAGCCCAATGCATCCTTGGTCACCATTTGACCATTCGACAAGTCTTAGTCGAATGGAAACAAACCGTGCCCATTTGATCCATTCGACCCATTTGATCCATTCGACTAGCCTTGCTTCTTCAGCCCAATGCATCCTTGGTGACCATTTGACCATTCGACAAGTCTTAGTCGAATGGAAACAAACCGTCTCCATTTGATCCATTCGACCCATTTGATCCATTCGACTAGCCTTGCTTCTTCAGCCCAATGCATCCTTGGTCACCATTTGACCATTCGACATGATCCATAGTCGAATGGAATCAAACCATGTCAATTTGATCCATTCGATCCATTCGACTAGCCTTGGTTTTTCAGCCCAATGCATCCTTGGTCACCATTTGTCCATTCGACATGATCCATAGTCGAATGGAAACAAACCGTGTCCATTTGATCCATTCGACCCATTTGATCCATTCGACTACCTTTGCCTTCTTCAGCCCAATGCATCCTTGGTCACCATTTGACCATTCGACAAGTCTTAGTCGAATGGAAACAAACCGTGTCCATTTGATCCATTCGACCCATTTGATCCATTCGACTAGCCTTGCTTCTTCAGCCCAAGGCATCCTTGGTCACCATTTGACCATTCGACAAGTCTTAGTCGAATGGAAACAAACCGTCTCCATTTGATCCATTCGACCCATTTGATCCATTCGACTAGCCTTGCTTCTTCAGCCCAATGCATCCTTGGTCACCATTTGACCATTCGACATGATCCATAGTCGAATGGAATCAAACCGTGTCCATTTGATCCATTCGACCCATTCGATCCATTCGACTACCTTTGCCTTTTCAGCCCAATGCATCCTTGGTCGCCGTTTGACCATTCGACAAGTCTTGGTCGAATGGAAACAAACCGTGTCCATTTCATCCATTCGACCCATTCGAATAGCTGATCCATTCCACTACCTTTGGTTTGCAGTCTTATGCATACATTAGACAAGTGTTCATTTCAGTGTAAATTCCAGGTATTAGTTATTCTAACAAAATTTTCCGAATCGATCTATTTGACCAACCTGAATTTTGATTTTTCCATTTGACTCGAATCGCCGGTATTGGACATCAATCATTTTAGCCAGGGCTGAAATTATTTGCGATTACATGGGATATTTCATACCGGTTGACAAGGCTGAAAATCTCATCCCGGTTGACATAAACCGGGGTGAAAATTTCAACCCTCAGCCCGGGTTGAAATGTTTTCCATGTAATCGTAAAATTCATTTTATATTGAATTTATAGGGGCCCCGGGCTGAAATTTCATCCCAGGCTGAAAACCTCCATGTAATCGGCCTCTATAAGGGCTTCATATTGCTGATGCTTTTGCAAATATTGGCTCATACGATTAGACAAAAGTAACATAACTTTCCTATAAGATAAAAGAACTTCAAACAAAATATGAAAGGGAGGTTTTCAACACGCTTAAAATATTCCTCCTTATTATCTCTCCCTTCAAACACTTGCTCGGAAAATATTGTATTTTAACTCATTCGACAAAACTTGTTAAAATTTGCGTCATGACAGCCGAAATATCCGCAATGCAGATAATTTTTTTCGCTCAATTCAGGCAAAAATTGTTAAAAAATTAGGTTCGTGCAATGACAATTGAATTTGATGCGAATTTGATTTTTTCACTCAGTAATTCGACAAAACGTGCTACAGCCTACAAATTGCGTATAATGACGGCCGAAATATCCCCATTGCGGATTTGGTTTATCCACTCGATTCAGGTAAATTTGTTATTAACTGGATATTAAGAAAACCTGAAGTTCCTGGGTATTATTAATACTGTTACTGCATGATTTTCCGATACATTCAGGTAATAATATGAAATTGGTCGAAGACCCGTACTCAGGAAATAAAATAACAACATAAAACGCTCTCTGAGTTTCCAGCGATATCCATACCCTTTTCTAGATATATACCTAATAATAATAAGCGAACGAACGAATGTATTCCTTCCACTCGTGAGCTCATTTACCATTGTCACATATAGTAAATGTCCAGGCCTTGTGACCCTGGATGGGCACTTAAAAGGAAAGAATACACACACACAAAGGTTTATTTATTCAACCATTACAAGAGAACGATAAGGTAAGTTATTAATTAGAAGAAATAGAGATATTTGAAAGCCTAAAATTCCATGTAAGGTTGTAGTCGGGCAGATAGAAGGAAAAAACTTACGTTATCGTGCGACAATTCCGTTTTGCCTTCATATTGTGCCCTGAAGGCTAGTTAATGCGTTTCGGTATGTTGGCCGCGTTGAAATTTCTTGTAGGCTCCTGCCGACACGTTTTTCTTCGATTATTGTATTAAACTCTAATTACAGTTAAAAAATGTGAAATTTCAAATACATTTCTAACACAAACGACTTACATAATTTGAAAGCTTGCAAAAAGCTACATGTAAGACATTTAAACGGTTACCCGGGTTTTTCAAATTTTTCTTGAGTTATGAGCTGTTGAATGCGTTTTTTCAGACTAGTACCCAGGAAGTTTGCGAGATTTTGGCTTATTTTCCAAATTTGAAACGGCAATAACTGGAAAACCGTTTGAAAATCCCAACTATAACCATTTAAATGTTTCATATGTAGTTTTTTGTTAGCTTTCTATTGATACAAGTCATTTGTATTAGAAATTTATCAGAAATTTCACATTTTTTAACTGTAATAGAGTTCAATACAATATTCGAAGAAAAACGTGCCGGCAGGAGCCCACAAGAAATTTTAACGCGGCCAACATACAGAAACGTACTTATTAGCCTTCATGGCACAATATGAAGGCAAAATGGAATTGTCCCACGATATGGTAAGTTTTCCATAATTTTGGTCCTCTATCTGCCCGACTATTGTTAGAAAATACAAATTATAATGGCCAGTAATCAATTCATAATTACACTGGCCGCAGCCAGTGTCATAATTTGCCCTCGCTGGAATGCAAGGAGTTTTTCTCTTTTTTTTTTTTTGTTGTCGCAAGTGTGACTTTCCATTGCGACATCGTGGGCTCAGGATTGCGCAATTTAGCCACTGAGCTATAATATTAGTGTAATATTATAGCTCAGTGAATTTAATTGAACATGCTCACGATGATTTAACCAATTCCTATATTTTGAGAAGAAAGCGACACCGTTCGACTCGGCGTATAAAGAAATTGTTCTTACGGATGTCAAGTGTATTACCGAACACCAGTATTCTAGCGATTTATGGCCTTTGAAAATCAAACGAAATTGTATTGGCAGATCGCTCGCAGTACCGGGTGGCCCAAAAAAAAGTACTCCTGTTTGATTCGTAATAACATCTAAACAAGTATAGCTTTTAAAGAGAAATAACTTGCATCAAATAGAGGAAGGACTAACTTAGACTTTGATATATTACAGTTGTATTTCACTTAAAAATTCACGGAGATATTAATCTTTAAATTCGGTAGGATATTTCTGGATGTGTCTGAAATATGCAAAAATCGGCGTATCAAATATTAATCAAGATTTGCCCGACTGAAACATGCACTATTACCAGTAAATAAATGACACTTGACAAATTGTTTATTATGAAACAAAGTATTATTATATCTACAAAATACAAGCAAGATTCATTCGTCCGAAATTCGCGTGTGTTCCTAGCACGAATACGTTTCCTTATTTCCTAAGACCACTGCATCGCGAAGGATCGTCATTGGATCGTTCGTAGTTCTGAATTAGGGCATACTGTCACAACGGAATTGTGAAGCTCTTCTAACTTCTGCAACGTTCTGAAATCTTGTTAAGAACACCCAAACTCTTTTGCCGTTTCTTAATCTTGGCAAGTTCATGGAGTAAACTGAGAATTATATGAAACGCAATCAAACCATACAACTCCATAAGACATAACAATTAAGCAACTCCCCAGAGACATGCAACATTTTTGGAACAAAACGTAACAAAATAGTAGCGTTGATACGGTGATGTGTATTTGCAAAAAGCAATATTATTTCCTTCAATAAAGAATATTCATCCTGCTCTAACCGAGAAATAATCTGCTCAGTCTGTTTGAACCCATTAAAAACATAAAAAAATTAGGCTATTTAAGAATACGAAAAATTTAAACGCCTGCCTTCCATGGTCAGTCTTTCATGTACATTTAAGTTTGCAAAGACCTAATATTAAATACTTGCATAATTTCGAACGTTCATATTTCAGGAAACAATGAGCTAAGACTTACATGTAAGATGTCTAAATCTACGCCATATCCCATACAAACCTTAACGATAATTCGCTGAAATACAAGTTAGCCTAATATGTCATTAAGCAAACAAACGCTGGAGTTAATATTTGATATGCCGATTTTCGCTAATTTTAGACACATTCCAAAATATGCTCCCCATTTTTAACATTAATATCTCCGTGAATTTTTAAGTTAAATACAACTGTAATATATCAAAATCTAAGTTAGTCCTTCCTCTATTTAATGCAAGTTATTTCTCTTTAAAAACTTTACTTGTTTAGAAGTTATTACGAATCAAACAGGAGTACTTTTTTTTGGGCCACCCGGTATGTATTGTTATTAACAAATCACTCGCACTATTATACAATTACTTTATGGTTTCCGTGTTTGGATGGCCTGATCCAAACACGCGGGAATGTTGCGAGAGTTAAGAAAAGCGAGCGAAATCACGAGCCGAAGGCGAGTGATTTTGCCCGCTTTTCTTAACTCGAGCAACATTCCCAAGTGTTTGGATCAGTCCATCCAAACACGGAAACCATAAAGTAATTGTTTTATAAAATAACAACAACACGGTAGTCTTCCGTGTTTGGATGGCCTGATCCAAACACGGCTTTCGACCAATCAGAATACGCGTTATATACATGTTATTTTATAAATGTTTGTCTTTGTATTTGTAATGTCTAATGGCGCAATAAGGATAAAAATACCACCGTTTGATTCAGCATAAGAAATTGTACTTACGGATGCCAAATGTATTACTATTTATATACTATATTTGAAATTTAATACAACGAAATATAGCATTCTACGTCGATAATTTCAATCATAGTTTAATAATTATTTTCAATCTATAGTAATTCACCGTTTCCAGGTTTTATTTTAGCTATATTGTAGCTACAATAAAGCTAAATTTGTAGGAAATGACATTTTTTAGTTATAAAATAGTATAAAAGAAAATCTAACAGACAATCGCTTTCGATACAAACTTGACCTGCCTTGACCTTGTTTATATTACCGTCGTTGGCAACTAACGATGAACAGTCGCTCATAAAAACATTGCCTATTCGCGTGAGAATCTTACGTTTTCTTATTTTAACATAATAGCTATTTTTCAAACATTATATTGATCTTAAATTAAACTTATTGAATCAATATTTAAGTTTCAGGCCTGTTGTACCCATGGGCGTACTGGGCGGGGGGGGGGGGCGGCAGCCCCCCCAGTTTGTTGGGCAGTCGCGCAATATTCGCTGAAAAGTCGGGCAATTTTGGTGTATTAAAAAAAGGAATGAGACAAAATCTGTAAATTTTGTGGTCAATTTTGTGATGTTTCCAAAATTTTTGTTAGGTTCCGGAAATTTTGGTATGTCCGGA